AATGACCCTCTTTTCTAATGCAAACATGTTAAGTAGTACATTTTTTTAAATGTTTAGACCATGTTGTGTTATTCAAAGATTTTTAACAGTTTTTCTTTCATTCAATAAATAAAAGTGAATTTGACTGTTCAAGCCATTAATGGTAATGATGGGTCTTATTAGTAATCAGCATTTTGCAGCTATTCTAAGGACAAATTTAGCTAAACTCAGCATGTCAAATTAGAGCAAAGATTTTGATATATTTTTTCCTCTTTTCACATTACAATGACTTCTCTCTTTATTTTGCAAAGTGGGTGATTGCAGAAAATTGGAAATGTTCTTGGGTGCTATTCTTCCCTTTAAAAAGGGGTACCTATAGGTTTAAATGGGCACCCAGCTTTAATGCCTGCAAAAATTCTATAATTTTATTTTACATAAATTCTATATCTCAAAGAATCTCAAAGAATAATACAAAATGTATATGCATATACAACTTTATTTTATTATTGCTCAATGCCTCAGATAGTAGTTATAATGATAATAAATATCTCTTGCACCAGTATTAGCACCTGTGTAGTCAAAAACCTTATTTCACACAGTAAAGACTACATAGATATGTTAGCTCAAGCCTTACCTGAAAACTAGGCAGGGTCACTGCACGGGTGGATTACTTCATAGGTGACGCCAGGAATAGGAGTGAAGAATGAGAAGGGCATGATGCTTAATTTTACATGTCAACCTCACTGAGCCATGTGATGCCCAGATATCAGATGGAACAATATTCTTGGTGTTTCTTTGAGGGTGATTTGAGATGGGAGTAACATTTAAATCAGTAGACTGAGTAAAGCAGATTGCCTTCCCCAATGTGGACTGGCCTCATCCAATCAGTTGAAGGCCTGAATAAAACAAAAAGGCTAGCCCTCTCCCAAGTAAGAGAGAATTACCCCTCCTTTACTTGCTTTTGAACAAGGATATCAGCTTTAGCCTGTCTTACACACAAACTGAAACATTGGCTTTCCCTGGGTAGAGAGCCAGCTTTTCCACCCTGAAGAATCACATGAGCCTTATAATAAATGTACAGTCCCCCCCTCCCTCTCCCTCTCCCTCTCCCTCTCCCTCTTCCTCAGCTTGCCTCTCCAGAAAATCTAATACAGAGGATAAAAGAGAGAAGGGAGAGAAGCCTATATAAAGACATCATTAAGTTGTAAAACAATGTGGATAACAGGTACTCAATCAATTGCAGAGATACAGGATGTATCTCAGAAGTGTCCTCCAGCAATTCTGAGATGCTCACCAGTGTCAGGTGTGCTCACATAGTCATCCCAAAACCTAAGTCAGAGAAGCTCCAGGGCAGGAAACAAAAGACCAGCATACACAGTGTCAGCATAAAGTTTGTCAAATCCCGTGTAAAACTATTGGCTAAAATCAGGGGTGAGGCAGAAAGCATACAGGGTGGGGCCCAAGAGGAATCCAGTGTGATCTATGCCTTAAATCACCCTGATCAATTAAAGCAATTAAGTTAGTCCAATTGGCATTAAGTCTTCAAGTTGGTGGCCAGACTCAACATATAGAAAGAACTTAACATATAAGGGATAGTGGAACCTATAAAAATTAATGATCTATGCCTGTACAATAATCAATTAAAAATAAAAATTTTTAATTGGATGTTCACTTTTGCAATAAAACCTATAAAGTATCTAGAAACTAACAACTATCTATTTAATCTTTATGGAGAAAATATTAAAAAACCCGGGTAGAATACAGAAGATGATCTGAATTAATGGAAAGACACCCCCATGCTCTTGAAAAATATGACTCAAATTAACCTATATATTTAAAGAAATCCTACACAAAGTATTTTGAGGAACTTGATAAACTTGCTATAAAAATTATTTGAATGATACAGGTACATAAATGGTCATTTTTTTAAAAAGCAATATAGTGTTGGATGAGCGGATAAAAAAGCTGTGGTACATTTACACAATGGAATACCATGCAGCAGTACAAAAGAAAGATCTCTTATACTTTGAGACATCATGGATGGACCAGGAGGGTATTATGCTAAGCAAAATAGCTAGTCAGAGAAAGACAAGTATTACATGATCTCATTCATTATGTGGAATCTAATGAACAAAATAGATCCAGACACACAGAAGCATGGAATAGACTGTTGAACCTCAGGGAAGGCAGGGAAGTGTGGGTGAGTGAGAAGAGATCAACCAAAGAACTTGTATGCATATACCCATAGACACAGACAATAGGGTGGTGAAAGCCTGGAGTGGGGGACGGGAGAGGGCTCGAAGGGGTCAATGGGGGGGAGGGAAGGGGACATAAGTAATATTTTCAACAACAAAAATTTAATTTAAAAATGAAATATATTAACTCATTTAAAAAAGCAATATAGTGTTGGTGCAGCTTCAGATGGATAGGCCAGTGGAATAAAATATAAGAGGACAGACAATACATATGAGAAAATAATATAGATAAAACTACAAATAATAGTAAAGGAAATAATTTGTCAACAGATGGTTTTGGGTTAACCTGCTTCCTATTTTGGGAAATAAAACTGAATACCTGCATAAAAACACATAAAGGTTTGAAGGTGGACTCCAGTTGAAATAAAGCTCTAAGTGTAAAACAATGTAGCTTTGTAAAATTGTCATTCATGTAGCTTTTATCGTCTTAGAAGAGATGCAGGAGAGTCTTGGTAATCTAAAGGAAATAAAGGGCGCCTCAACTTTTCAAATACACAACCACTTAGGCAAAATATAATGATTAATTTGATTATATCAAAATTCAAGATTTCCATGGATGAACCTCGAGGACACTAAGCTAAGTGAAATAAGCCAGTCACAAAAAGACAAATGCCATATGATTACAATTATGTGAAGACCAAAGTCAGAGAGTGAGAAAGTGGAATGGTTCTTCCAGGAGCTGGGAAGAAGGGAGAATTGAGAACTGTTGTTTAATGAGTAGTTTCCATTTTGCAAGATGAAAAGAGTTCTGAAAATCGGTTGCACAACAGTGAGAATATATTTAACACTACTGAACTGCACACCTAAAAATGGTTAACATGGTAAATACTATACATAGTATGCCATATTTTTTAAATAGAGTTTCTGTTCAGTTAACAGAAAGATGAGTAGTTTCTGTTTATGTTATGGCATGTTACGGAATGAGAGAAAACATTTGTGATATCAAACGCTTAAGAGAGGCAAACATCAAAACTGCATGAGAAGTTTCCATTCCAGCACTTAAGGAGTTTGGGAGTTGCAACTCCATCCTAACAAGTGAAAAACTAAACAAGCTGAAAAAGCAACAACTCTCCCTAGAACCATAAGAATAGTGAGGTCACAGGGCAACCCGCCAACATTGAAGAAACCCACGGGAGGACACACAGAATCCCAACTTCCCGGAGTAGAAATCCAGGAGCAGCAATCTCCGTGGAAACCTGAACTTCAAGGGACAAATTACTGGAAGTGCAGAGTGGGTAAGTCTGCGAGATGAAAACTTGAGGGGGACCCAGTCATTAGGGAGCCCTCATTTTTGTGAGTTTTACCTCCAGGAGCTTTATCAGGTTCTCACAGTAAATACTAGAGGAAAACCCTTTGAGCTTCTGGGAGGGGAAGTTGAAAAGGGACCATTGGGAAATACCTTGAAACATTCTGTTCTTCTTAACAAGGTCTGCACTCAGGAGAAACTGCTTAGTCAGAGCCCAACCTGCTGGAGCAGCGGTTCTCAACCTTGGCTGCACATTAGAATCACCGGAATGAGGCCCAGAAATCAGGATTTTAAAAAGATTCCCAGGTGATTCTAATGTGCAGCCAAGGCTGAGAATCACTGTGCTGGAGTCTCATCAGAGCCTAACTGGCCTGGGAAAGAGAAATAACCAGCTGGGCATCAGCTTTCACCTGGAGGAAGGGAGATACCCAATTCCAGCAACTGCAGTCCTCCTGTCCCACCAAAGCAGGGAGGACGAGGAACTGAGAAGCCTGTGTGAAGTTCCCATGTGGAGGGACAGGCTCCCTAAAGGACTGACACCTAATCATAGGATCATACTTACTTTCTCCCAATACCTCACCACCACTTTACTGAAGACAAACTTATAGCACCGCCTTTTACGAGTATTCCATGTCTGGCTATCCAGAAAAAATTACAAGGCACACACACACACAACAACAACAACAACAACAACAGTTTAAAGAGACAGAGAAAGCATCAAAGCCAGACACAGGCATGGCAGGGATGTTGGAATTATCAGAATGGGAATTTAAAAATGACAATCATGATTAATTGTTATTAATGCCTAAAGATTCAAATGAATAATGGAGAGAGCATGCAAAAAGAGATGAGTGATTTAAGCAGAGAGATGAACATTCTAAGAAAGAACCAAAAAGAAAAGGTAGAGATAAAAAACGCTGTAACAGAAAGAAAGGACGACTTTGATGGGCTTATTGGTAGAGTGGACACAGCTGAGGCGAGAAACTAGGCACTTGAGGATATCTCATTAGAAACATCCAAAATTAAAGAGAGGGAAAATTTTTTTTGAAAAAAAAGTACAAAACAGCATATTTAGAACAAATAGAAAAAGTGTGACATATGGCAATACCAGAAGGAGAAAGAGAGAAAGGAACAGAAGAACTATTCGAAACAATAATGACTGAGACTTTCCCCCAAATTAACATCAACATGAAACCACGGATTCATGAAGCTCAAAAATAAAAATGGCTCAAAAAAGAAAAGAAGCCTACACCTAATCATATTGTTTTCAAGCTTCAGAAAATCAAGATAAATAATCATGAAAAAAAAATTTAGAGAGGAAAAAAGCTTTACCAATAGAGGAGATATAAGAATTTCATTTGACTTCTCAGAAATCATGCATCAAGAAGAGAGTGGACTGAAATACTTAAAGTGTTCCAAGAACAAAAACACACCTAGAATTCTGCACACTGACAGTCCGTCGTGGAGACACGCGAAGGTCGGTGAGTTGGTGCGGAGTTTGTCTGGGAGCCCGTGGCCAGGCTGGGAGGATTCCTCTTGGAATTCCTCCGCTCGGCTGCGGGTCTGGGCTCCCTGGCCCCGCAGCTGCCGCATTTCATCCGGGTGGAGACTCAGAAGCAGCGCTTCCAGCAGCTGGTGCACCAGAGGACGGAACTTAGTTGGGAGAAGTGCGTGGACAAGCCTGGGCCAGAGTTGGACGGCCGGGCTGAGGCCTGTTTTGTGAACTGCATTGAACGCTTCACTGATACAAGCCAATTCATCTTGAATCGCCGGAAACAGACCCAGAAAGCCAAGCCAGTCTTCTCAGAACGTCTTTCTGACTGATTTCAGCATTCCCTTTTTGGAAAAGGAAGGTAGTTCAAGAATGGTTGAAGAAAAGGCTACAGGGGGATGGGCTCCCACCTTTGGCTCTCTGGGAGCATCTGGTCATCTGAGAATGAACAAAGACCAATATCTTAGTGTGTTTGGGGTTTAAGGGTCATATATGTATTTGGCTTTTTTTTTTATGTTAATCTTGTGAAAGCAATTGGCAAATGAATGGAAAACTTTCCTAGATACATATTACTGTATGTGGGACTATGTTTTTCCGAATCCCTCATTAACTGCTTCCTATCATTTGGATAATGGAACTGCTTTTTGTAATTTGATAGTGGGACCACATGGGTAAAAGCTGTCATTTCTGTGAATTGGTTTCAGATGCGTAGGGACACTGATACACATCTTGGTGTCTCTGGGAGAAAGGGTGGCAATGGGAGAAGAGCTACTTGGTACTTAACTAGTGTTTGACCATCAGTGCTGGGGAAAAAAAATCTATGGAATATTCATACAATACAGTTCAACTTTCTAAATTTTCTCCCTTCCTTATGCTGTGATTTACTTAAGTCTCTATATAAAGTGTGGTCTTGAGGTAATACAGGCAGCCTGAGTATCGAGAAGCCTTTAATTATAAAGGAATCTAGCCAGTGAGCATAATTCTCATTATTAAGGTGCCATGAGGAAGAATTTAACTTACCTTGAATATCAGGGTCAAAGAAATTCAAAAATGGGCCTAAATAAGTTGTAAAGATTTAGACCTGTCAAAAACTAACAGCAGTTTCAGGTAGAGATGCATGTCTAATGTTGATCAATAAGTATAGATTCCATTTATTGCATTCTCTTGATTATTGAAATAAAAGCTTCTACAAGATTCAAAAAAAAAAGTGAGGGAGAATAAAGACTTTCTCAGCAAACAGAAATTGTAGGAATTGGTTGCCAGTAAACCTGCCTTGTAAGAAATGTTAAAAGAAGTACTTTAGAGAAAAGTAAAATAATATAGATCAGAAACTCTAATCTACATAAAGAAAGGAAGAGCTTTGGAGAATGAGTAAGTGAAGGTAAAATAAAAAAGTTTACTTTTATTATTCTTTATTAATCTAACACATAGTAGTTTGGTCACAATAATAACAAGAATATATTCAATTATGGTATATATATAACCATATATAAGGTTATAGCATATATATATATATAACTCATTATATGTATGGTTATCTATTAGTAAAATGAATGGCAGTAATGATACAAGTGACAGGAGAGAGGAATTAGTATTATTCTGTTGTTATAAGGTACTTGCACTATCCATGTAGCAATATAGTGTTATATGAAATTATACTTAGATTAGTTGTAAATGTATATTGCAAACTCTAAGGAAACCACTACAAAAAAGTTTTTTAAATAGAAGTAAAATTGATATGTTATGAAAGAAAAGTAAATGAAATCATACAAAATGCTCATTTAAAAGCAGAAAAGGAAGAAAAAGTGTAGAAGACAAAAATAGACAGAGGTGGTCTAGCAGAGTTCACATTTGGTCATTGTCCTGGTACAGATGATGTAAGGAAGGTGTATTCATACAGTATCCAGCACATATTAAAGTAATAATAATAATAATTTGCATCTAGTTTCCTGCTGTACTTAAGTTGTTCCCACTGTGTGTATGGGTGTGTTTGTGTTCATCAACATAAGAAAAAAAATCTCCTCATTTGAGTCAGCATCTCTTTGTGCATTAAAATCAGAACTCTCTCACCCCACTCACTATCCTGCAGTGGTCTGAGTATCATTTCTGATATGCTTACTCAAAATTATGATTGTTCTTACCACCTGATTAACATCTCATAAAAAATAAAATGCTCTCTCTACAGATTGCTATTTGTACATTCCATCTTCAAAACATTTTTTCTAAATATATTACTTCCTCTATAGTATTTATCTATCAGTATTCACTCACTTATTTTTTCATTTAACAGTATTAACCGAGGGCCTTTCCTAAGCATCCATTCTGCACACTGAGAAAAGAGTGAACAACATGCAGTCTCTCTGCTTTCTAGGAGTTTATTTCTTACATGAAGAGCAGAGAAGTAAAAGGGCAATTTTAATCCTGTGCTAAGGGCTACCAAAGGATTAATAGAGAGAGAGAGAGAGAGAGAGAGAGAAACTTGGGGGGAAAACCACTTGACTCAGTCTGAGAATGTCAGGGTAGATTTCACAGAGGAACTAACACTTGATGAGATGCCTGGAGACCAAGTGGAAATTAGACACAGGAGAGCAGAGAACATCAGGCGCATCAGAGGGTGCAGTACTGTGCTGCAGACCGCAGGAGGGGGAGCATGTGACTTACTGAAGAAAATGAAGCAGGTTCTGTGCAGCTGGAGCCCATGAGGCCGATTGGTGGGAGGAAACAGCAGAGTAGAACACAGGAACCAGACATACAGCAATAATGATCATTTCTCTAAACACTTTGCCTAAAATAGTAGTCTATGGATCAATCACTTCAGTTAAATTTTTAAATTGATTGGAGTCACTCATGCATCAACAAATATTTCTTTGGAATCTATTCCTTTCCCTGCACTTTGCTTAGTCCCCCAGAATACAATGGAGAATACGTCAAAAGCACTGCCCTCGTCAAGTTTACATTCTAATGAAGGAGATAGGCAATAAGCAAGTCAATACATAAATACATTTTATGTATATTTATTGTTTCCATAAGGGAAATAAGGCACTGTAGCAGTGATGAAAAGGGTAAGGACCCTCTTAGAGAGAGTGTCCAGAGAAGGCCTCTCTCAGGAGAAAACACTTCAGCCAAGTCCTAAGTGATGAGGAACCAGTCATGTAAATATCCAGGGAAGAGCAACATAGACAATGAAAAGGTCCACACCATGCTAAAGAGCCAGGTGTCTTCCTGGAACCAAAAGATGGCCAGGATGACTAGAACGTGGGCACGACAAAGAGAGTGGCATAAAACGAGGATGGCCAAAAAAAGTGGACTCAAGTCATTCAAGACCTTGCGAGCCAGTTTGGAATTTATTCTAAAAGCAAAAGGACTCATACAGAGGATGTTTTTAATTATTCATTCAAGTATTTATTGAGCAGGTAGGGAGATACAAAGGTGATTAAATCATGGTCAAAGAGGTGAGGCAAATGCACAAATAAGTAGAAAGCAAAAGATAAGGTTCACTGAATCACAGCAGTCCAAAGAAAGTGCTTTAGAAGATCAAGAGTGAGCCCATCCAAAGGGTTATAAGCAAAGAAGTGGCATGATCTGGTTTCTCTTAAGATAACTTTTTCTGAGAAATTATTGAACGCCTATTATTGGATGCATATGGCTAGTGGTCAAAAAATATTTGTTGAATGAGTGAATAGATGAATGAAAACTTTATCTGTTCTTCATTCTATAAACTAAAACTTTTCACTAACTATCAGGGGTTCTTTGTTTTTAAATTCTCACATGAGTATATTTTCATTGATTTTTAGAGAGAATGGAAGCATGAGGGAAAGACAGAGAGAAACATTGATGTGAGAGAAACACATTGATTGGTTTGGTTGCCTCCTGCAAGAGTCCTGACCAGGGCCCAGGCCAGGGAGGAGCCTGCAACTGAGGTACATGCCCTTGACCAGAATCAAACCCAGTACCCTTCGGTCTGCAGGCTGACATTCTATCCACTGAGCCAAACCGGTTATGGCCTAACTGGACATATACTCAGTCCAGTTGGCTTACAGTTTTTAAGGAAGCTGTAAGAGGATGTGCTTCAAAATAACAAGGATGAAAACCAAGACAGAAAGAGACATGAGGTCCAGGAACAGTGAAAAGGAATACAGGGCACTATGTGGCCAGCAGACCAGATTCACCCCTTTGAGACAAAAAGATAGTAGGCTCCAGAAGGGAGCCTTCAAAGAAAGAAATGCTACTGATAATTAGGCTTGACCATATCGTATTCATTGAGCATTTTAAAAATATAATAATAATAATACAGAATACTGAAGCATATCCACATGAAAAATGCAAGTATTAACATTAACTCTAAGACAGTGGTTCTCCACCTTCCTAATGCCTCGACCCTTTAATACAGTTCCTCATGTTGTGGTGACCCCCAATTTCATTGTTACAAATTGAGCATAATTAAAGCATAGTGATTAATCACAAAAAAATATGTAATTATGTATGTGTTTTCCAATGGTCTTAGGCGACCCCTGTGAAAGGGTCGTTCGACCCCCATAGGGGTCATGACCCACAGGTTGAGAACCGCTGCTCTAAGGAAAAAAGAAAAGAAAAAGGAATATCAGAGTAAACCAATTGGATCAACGGGAAAAAAGCAGGCATAATTTAAGCACTGGCTACTAATTCAATCACATATATCCTCCTATATAATAAAAGGACAATATGCAAATTGACCGAACAGCGGAACGACTGGTCGCTATGACACACACTGACCACCAGGGGGCAGACGCTCAACGCAGGAGCTGCCCCCAGGTGGTCAGTGCACTCCCACAGGGGGAACACCACTCAGCTACAAGCCGGGCTGATGGCTGGTGAGCACAGTGGCGGTGGCAGGAGCCTCTCCCTCCTCCATGGCAGCACTAAGGAAGTCCTACTGATGGCTTAGGCCCACTCCCCTAAGCCTCAGTTGGACATCCCCTAAGGACTCCTGGCCTGCTAAAGGGCACAGGCCAGGCTGAGGGCACCTCCCAAGTGCACGAATGTCGTGCACAGGGCCTCTAGTATATATTTAAAAGGCTAAGTGACCATCCGACCGTCTGACCAGTAGCTATGACACACAATGACCACCAGGGGGCAGGAGCTGCAAAGTGACTTGGTGACTTGGCAGCGGTGGTTCTCAGGTAATGCACCCCAGAACCAGAGAGGAGGGAGCCCAATTCTGGGGTGCATCACCTGAGAACTGCCGGCTCACAATCCAGGACCCCTTGGGGGATGTTGGAGAGCTAGTTTAGGCCCGATCCCTGCAGCCCAGGCTGAGGGACTCTACCTGCCAGAGGAACCCCTGCAGACACCC